CGTAAACAGTCAAAGGTACTGAGTGAATCACGTTCGTTATGCAGACAAATCTGCCTTGTTAAGAAAATTATGCCAGGACAAACCGCGACCCATCTACTGTAAGCTATAGTCCATATTTATTCCAGAGGAAAGCGGAATTTCATGATCTGTCCTTTCTGAAAGAGCACTCACTTTGGCAAAGAAAACTGTCTCATTTTAGAGCGAAATCGCAACAGTGCAGCCGGCTAGACATTTTGCCGACCTGCAGTACGCAGACTATATTGTCCATGTGAGTGGTACAGGAAGCGGGCTGCGTCAGTTTACGGCTTTAGTATGCAATAAAGCTGTGAACGCCCGCCTCTTCCTCAAAGACAGGAAGCCAAAGGTTATGATAAATATATCTGACACAGCTGTTGTGCAAGTAAAAGAGGAAAGCAAAGAGCATCAGGAGGCTGATCAATCTAAGTATCTCTGTTCCACCATCTTCAGCGATGACATCACCCAGAAGGAGTTAAACAGGAAGATCGCCCTAGAGTCGAGTGCATTAGGAAATCTTTAGGCTGAAGAAGAAGTGTGTCCTTATACTCGTATAAGAAGCATCATTTTCCAGAAATCCTCCTGAACCTTGCTTATGTCTGGTTAGTGCTGTTTTACAGCACGAATTGAGTTGCTCTAATGAAGAACCAGTAACGATGGTTGAATTGCATACAGCAGCGTTGCCTTCGATGCATAAGAAGGGTTAAATGGCAGAACATCGCAAAGAATGACTGTATTTTGCTTCGGTCACAAATTACATCAGTAGATTTGGAGATTAGGAAGCGGAGGTTAGCCCTCTTAGATAAGCTTGAGTTAGTCGAACATAAATAATTTACTTCAACCCATGGACCACTCGTTAGGAGCCGAAACATGAAAGATGTCGGCCAGAAGGCCAGATGGAACATAGCTAAAACACGAAGGGGCATATTTGCTTTTGAGAAAATATTTCCTTCCAGGAAGTAGTAACCGATGCCTTACAGCGAAAATGTTTAAAAACTGCAAACATTGCGGACTTCACAAACCACAGGTGTTCTGCTTATGAAAAAAGCTCAAGATGCTGACCTCAGCAAACAAAATACAAATAAGGCACTGCGCGTGGTGCATCGTATGATTGCACTGATTGGAAGTGAATGGCCTGAAAATCAATGCACATCTCTATTTACTATATTGCTATTTGAAACTCAAAATGGAGCTATGAAGGTGAATCGACGAGTTGTTGTCTAGTTGATGCGTTAACGGTTCTGCTCGAAAAGGAAATGGTTTCCCTTAACTTGTCTGACCTCTGTGCCAATTACTGGTCTCTGACACTCATATGTGTTCAGGTTCTTTCCACCGTTTGAGAGATAGAGAAATTTGTTCGTTTCACATGATATATTTGCTAGGCTGAACTGCCAATGTTGGCGAGATGACGGCATTGGTCATAGAAGCCATCGGTCACCGGTCATTGCTCAAGGAATTTGGCACGCCCCTTGTATACCGTT